TTTTGTATCTAGCCTAGTAAAAACTAACTCCTTAAAAAAAAATTTGATATTTGGTAGTACCTCCATTTTTATCAACTACTGCTGGCAATTTTCGTGGCATTGAGTAAATTGAATTACGAAAATTGTAGTTGTATGTTAATAATGTTGAAGCATATCATTAATAATTGATTATACACTGTTTTAAATCTTGTTTCGAAGCAGGTCTAAATTCTGTATTGTAACTTTTTTTGTAAGGTAGGCCCAAATATTTTCGCTCTTAACATGATCTTACATGCTGGAACGTAAAATTATCTCCAAAGCGTTCATTAGCGGATGGCAGCATTACATCTAATTAACTATTTATCGCTAGTCAGAAGTCCATCAATAAAATAAATCTGCCCTGGACCTTTAGCACTTATATAGGCCCATGCATGGACAGAAAATCTTCCGCTAGACTGATTAAATTGGATGTAGTCCTCCTCATACCTGGTTCGTCGTGGCCTATAAACTTTTAAAGTTTGGCTACTATTGCATGACTGAAAAACTTTTTCGTCAGAGAAAACTATATTGCTCCAGAAATTTTCAGGTTCTTGAGAAAATAACTGAGCAAACTGTAATCGACACTGTCTATTTCTTTGCACTGAAAATAGTTTACGAGCTGCTGAATGACATTTAAATCCAGTTTCCTTAATACGCCTTCGCGCAGTTCTAACTGAAGCTGAAAAACTACTCAATTCTTTGGCTCTAATTTCCGAAATAAATGGATATGAAACGACCTCATCAAGAAGAGATTGATCCTCTTGTCGAATTGTTTTTCTAGGTCGTCTTCCTCGTTGTAGGTTCGTGATAGAAGCAGATTCAACCAATGGTTTCAACCCATTTTTTCTTCAAATTCGTAATTATACTACTTCCACAACCAAGGGTTAAGGCGACTGCACATATAGTTTTCCCTTGTGAAATTATTAGAATTGCTTTCGCTTTTTCATCGTTGGTTAAAATATGGTACTTTTTTTTCAATCTTATTTAAAAACCTTATAAAACTTTTCTAGTTCGCCACTGACTTATTACTTTGACACAATTTTGGCATTACCGGCTTGTTAAAAAAGTCAGATTTTGATGCAATACGAGGTGCGTTTTTAAAGTTTGTGCCAATTCCAATGGCCGCGACTTACCTTGTCCTTTGTCGCTACTGCCTTTGAATAAGTGATATTCACAAAAAACTTATTCCTATAGGTACCCTATCCATTACTGAATGATTCATTTGAACAGGTGTATTTTCCTAAAGTTATAGGATAGTACAGTTCAAGTTATAAGTATGCATTTATGTGCAATTTTTAGCGATATAGAACCGATTATATCTCCTAGGCTTACCACTCCATCACATACCTAACCTACTAATTCGCGACCAAATTCCGGCAGCACAAATGCGCCGCCAGACTATCGAAAAAAAAAAAAAACAATCCGACATTGATAAGTATTTGGATATACAGGGTGTATAAGGTTTGACTACAAAAATTTTAACTCGTGAAAATATTTGGAACAAAAAAAGTTTATACAACATGGGGTCCAAACTCAACCATTTTTAAGGAGAAGGCCTTTGAAGTTTCGAGATTTTCTGACAAATATTTTAAAGCTAAAGAAAATTTCAATCATTATGAGATGTAAATAAATCTAGTATATTCAATTATTAAGTAATTATGCATTTTTAGTCAACAACAATAACAAAAAATTGAAAAAACATCCCCGAAATTTCACTTGTAAATCGGTGTCTAAACATCTGGCAACATAGCACAATAAAGAATAGGTGGTTGAATGTTGAACCTTGGTTGAACTAAATAAATTGATTCTTGATTTATCTTGTCTTAGTTGGAAAACGCGCGTAATTCAAATTCATTCTCTTTTGTACTGAATATAAAACTTATATCTATTTATTAATTTTTATGATGCATATGTAAAAAATGTGCATCATAGCGACGCAAACAAGCTTCAAAAGGATTCTGCAAGCTATTAGCTCATCATACACCAGCGGATGAACGACCAATTTGATATGGCACGAGCCAAATACGCCGATAAATTATTTTCATTCGTGTGACGAGACAAGTTTCATCATGCAATTTGATTCGTCCTGTATTGCTAGATTTATGAAGAGTGGATTTGGCTATTTTTCTGAGACTTGTTTTAAACTGCGGCCGTTATTCCTTCCAACTCCGTATGACCGGAAATAGCGCTCTACTAAGAAAGAATTTTCTTCAGTTGAAAGAGCCATATTGACGAAGATTTTCGCCTTAACGTAATGACAAACTGACAACTAATGACAAGTAAGCGAAATACGATAAATACAACTTGCGTGCGCAATAGACCGATCTCCTATTACCTGGACTGCGCGCGTCGCTTGTAGGCTGCAGGTGAGCGTCCAATGAGAAGCAAGTTTATGACAGGCTTGTGTCATATTCTTATTCAGGGGCCAGTTCAGAATGAATCGTTCCTTATATTTTCATTTGGCGAGTAGCTGAGTAAGTATGAATTAACTTTTCTCTTGAATGTTTAGTGCAAAAATGTCATTGAGTGCAATTCACAACTTAATAAAACGGCACATTTTCTATTTTCACTAGAAAAGTGATGAAAATGCAAGTTGGGCCGTATTCATAAAAAAAAGGTTATGCTTATACTTGCAGAATATGAAGGAAATCCTTCAGCTCGCATGCATAATATTCCGAGTAAAACCTTATACTTATAAAGTATGAGCATGTTCTTCACAAAAAGTATTTGGTTATTCATAAACGTTACCTTTTACTCTAAATAAGAAGGATATCCTTCAATAATTTCGAGTGTGGTCAGTAGCAGACTCAGTCGTGTAGTGGTCAGTTGTAGCGATGGCAGATGTTGTGGAACTGGGAGAAGCAGCGTTTATCAACACCTGTTCGTGATTACAAAGAACTATATCGGTTTGGAGAGGAAAATGTGCAATGGCTTGTCAACAGATTTTTGGGAATTAATGCTAAAACTCGAGGAGGTGCGCTATCATCCGTCCTAAAAATGCAGATATGTTTACGTTATCTCAGTGACCCTGGGTATCAGAAAGGCATTGTTCAAGAACTGGGTGTAAGTCAAGCTACAGTATATCATACAGTGACTGCCGTAATTGACAGCATAGAGTTTTCGTCTTGTTGTATGGATTCGTCCCCTAACTGTTTTTTGTAGGTTGTTGCATTTTTTACACCTTTTTTTACAACTTTTTTACACTTTTTTATACATGACTTTGTAACATGAATTGTAAGTACCCTTTGGATCATTTTTTTTAGAAAATTATTTTTATTGTTCTTTGTAACCTTTGACCTGAAGATGAGGTGTAAGTTTTAAACCCCGAAACCATGGTAGTCTAATCATCAGTCATTATTGAAAAATAAATTTCTCTTTTTGGAATTGTGAGATTTGACTTTTTGTTCTCCTTCATTGAAAAATATGAACTCACATTTGTTATCACTTCAACCTTCGAACCTTTTACTTATTCTTGTAGGATATCCTTGCAAGTATAAGGTAATCATTATGAATACGAAAAAAAGGAAATGCTTATACTTCTACCTTTTTCTTCAACTCAAAACCTTATACTTCTACCTTATACTTACAAGGATATCCTTCAGTTTTATGAATACGGCCCATTATTCACATTATTATTTTGAAAGCCAATAACAAACCAAAGCGTAAACAGATGAAGATAAATAAACTCCGTGCAAAAAAAAATAGTTATTTATTATACAAGACGGTAAAAAGAAGCTTTACCTGTGAGTGGGAAATGTTGATTCACGAGCGACGAAGGAGCGAGTGGATTAATTCCACGAACAGGTAAAGCTTTGTTACCGTCGTGTGTAATATTCTATTTCATTCTTGAGCCACTTTTTATTTATCATTACTAAAATCATAAATTAAAATGTGCTAAAATTTTACAGAGGCCGCGTTCACCAGATACAAACGTTGGTAAATGGTTTGCGATTGTTCTGTTGAACGCTACGTTGAATTTGTGTTAAAACCAAACATGTTTTGTAAACGGTCGCCATTTTTGCAAGCATAATTTCAGAGTGTTTATAATTAACACTGTGTTCTGTGTGGTGACCTGTCATTCAGAAGGTGACGTTCTATCATTGAAAAGTTGAATCGTTCAGCAGAACCAAGAGTTTACCCAACATATTCTGTTGGTATTTGTGAACTGTTTACAATCCGTTTTGGTTCTGGTGAACGTAGCCATAGATTATGGCAAATTGACAAAGTACCTAACAAACTGACACATTTCTGGTGTTGTCAATCATGCAACATATCAGATTTCTGTCAAAAACACTATAATTATTATGAAAGATTTGAACAAGTGGGTAAAATTGACGTATGAGTGGGTAAAATTGACGTATGGGTGGGTAAAATTGATAAATGAGTGGGTAAAAATTGTTCGATTCCACTACTTCAAATAAACTGTTACTTTAACAACGAGTTTTGAGTCGATTAAATGATAGTTTACCATTCGCGATAGAATAAAAAAAATTATTCTATCACGAATGGTAAACTATCATTTAATCGAATCAAAACTCGTTGTGAAAGTAACACTTCATTTGAAGTAGTAAAATCGAACAATTTTTACCCAGTCATTTGTCAATTTTACCCACTCATACATCAATTTTACCCACGTAGTCCCAGTTGTATAAACACTAAATTAACCAGAGTTTATTAAAACTTTGTTTAAAAATTAACCTTTGGTTGAAACAATACAGGTTGTATAAGTACAAATTAGCCATGGTTTTTCTAGCCTAGGTTTAGTTAAGGTTGGTAACACATTTCGATGCATTTGACGAACGGTTTAAACATACTCAACCCCACCTGTCGTGTTTTCTAACCTTATTTTCTTGGTGTTGCAAGTTGTTATATTTTGTAATTTGTTTGGTTTGTTTTCGTTGCCGGTTTATTTGATTTGAAGCTGTTGTAAGCATAATCAGTTATAAAAAAGTTATAGCCAGCAACGAACACTGAACAGTTCGATGATGGAAATAGAGACAAGTAGAAGAAAAAGGACTGAAAATTTCAGCAAGTCTGAAGAAAAATTTTTAATTGAAAGCGTGAAAAAATTTACTAACATAATAGAATGCAAAAAGACCGATGCAGTGTCTATTAAGGAAAAAAATGCAGCCTGGATAAAAGTTGCCAATTGGTTCAATTCCAATTCACAAAATTATAGAGCTGCTGACCAATTGAAAACTAAATACCTAAATTTAAAAAAACAGTGCAAAAAAGACTTTGCAGAAGAGAAACAAATTAAAATAGGAACGGGTGGTGGGCCATTTTCAACTCTAAAGACTTCCACTGTCGATGAAGATATACGGGAAATTTTAGGGTCCCAAGTTACTGGAATGCGATCTAACTTTGATAATGACTTGGATGAAAATGCCCCCGAAAATGTCCTAGACCAAGGAATCCAATCGGAAGGTACATAGTAAACTCACAGTATTTTAGGAATTCCCAAGTATAAAATGAAGCCATTATTTATTTATTTATTACTTTTCAGTAATATTAGAATCACATAATAATGAAGATAATATTGAATATTATGAAATTACCGAGGAAATTAATGAGAAATCTACTGTAAGTGGAAACTTGAAGGAAAATCGTAAGTATTTGATAAATAAATGTCCTTAACTTCCTTTATTGCATATTTCAAATATGCAATCATTTTATTAGATAATATGCCTAATAGGTATTACACTAGAAATTAATATTTTAGTATGTGAGATAGGTCCAAAGTCTGGTATCCTCAAAGAGCTATTTGATAACACAGGATATGAAGAATTGGAAGAGCATGAAGGAAGTGAATATACTGACTTTTTTGTTTGTGACGACAGTACGTAATTGTTTAGTAGTAAAAGATTTTTTAAGTAAATTACTATACTTATTTATTTCCACTAATTTGTGTTAAACTTTAACATGTTTCGCTACACTGTAGCTTCATCAGAAAGATTTCAAGAATTATATGTAGACATAAAAGTGAAATTTAATAATAATAATAATAATAATTTCACTTTTATGTCTACATATAATTCTTGAAATCTTTCTGATGAAGCTACAGTGTAGCGAAACATGTTAAAGTTTAACACAAATTAGTGGAAATAAATAAGTATAGTAATTTACTTGAAAAATCTTTTACTAGATAATGAATTTCCACCTAGTAGAAGCCGATTCAATAAAAATAATTGTTTAGTATTGTTGATTATTCCACTCATGTGTTAGAAATCCCATAAGACAAGTGACGATTTTCAGAATTACAGCGAAAATTCTCTTTTCCATTTGTTTAACTAGAGAGAATTACAGCGATAATTCTCCCATGTTATTGTATACATGGTTGTCATGCTAATTTTTGATACAAACAAACGGTTCCTGATAGCAACCATTTATATGTATTGATTGTTAAGATGTTCAAATCGTTCACTACATATTTATTCCCATATTTTTTGCATTTTCATGCGTGAAATAATCCTCTAAATACCACTTGAGCTTTAAAATGAACCAGATAATTTTTCACTCATGCGTGTTTTCTCTGCAAATTTCACTCGTCCTAACGCAATCGTGGAAAATTATCGGTAATTTTGAAGCTCTCGTGGTATTATCCCCGATAATCTGTATTTCTCTATAATCTTTAAAATATAAAAACAGATAAAACTTTGTGTAGTTTTCTTAGATTATTCCATTTTGCAATGGGAAACTTAAGAAACAACTACAGATGGTTTACTTCAGTTTTATTCTATTTCTAAATGAAGCATGACCTTTCAGGATGCAAATTCCTTTCACGTGGTGGAAACACCTATCTCCCAACGTCCGAGTAGTCAAAGTGTGGAAACACAGAATAATTACACTACAGGTGAGTAAGGATATTGGGAAAAATTCATATACATTTTTAATTTTTTCTGTATTTTCAAGAATCGCAATGGAAAATGTTAAAAAAAACCAGTATCCAAGGTACTTAAACCAAATTTAGAAAATAATACCACTTCGCATGAAAAGCCATTGCTGAGGCCATTGAAATCATAGAAAAGTGAAGCTGAGGAAAAAAGCAAAAAGCGTAAGTTTCCTATTGTTAGGAATTAAGGCGTTAAGATTAAGGCTGAAACTGACAAAACTTTGGCAGGTAACATAAAAAAATTGGGTTAAATGGAGCCTGTTAGGTGATTTTCAATAGTTATAAGCTTTTATTAAAGGAGCAAAAAAAATCATCTCGTATCTGTTGAATAGTAAAAGATTGGAACAAAGCATTTGAAATTTCTCAAAAATCGAGCTCATGAGGCACCTTAGTTGTATTTGTCCAAGTGAAGCTTGTGTTTTCTATTGAAATCGACCAATTTTGCATCCTCTGTTCATTTTCCTGCAATGTCTTTCTATTAACTTTTAGGAGGCCGGCCTGACCCTTTGAAACAAAAATTAGGCAAGTGGGCAGAGTCAAAGTCTAACTTGGAAGACTTCCAAATAAAATGCTATGAGGAGGAACATAAGAAAAAAATGGATCATCTTGAAAAAAAAAAATGCATTAGAGCTCCAGCACATGAAATAAGAACATGAAGCCCGTATGATGAAAATATTAGGTCCAAAGTAGTTTTATTTAGAAATGTGAAATATTCCTGTTCCTTTTGGTGCAGTGGTAATATTTTTAGCACCTCCATCCATTTCATTTATTTAGAAAGATTTTAAAAAAAACTTTACATTTTTTTAAAAATGGGACACCCTATATATTTTGTATTAGAATTGAAAAACTTTTTCTCCGGATCCCAAAAATACCACGTGACTGGTCTACACCATTTCAACCTCAATTTCGGAAAAAAGTAACTTTTATTCAGGAAAATGTCAGGTCATTTCCGGAAAAACTCAAATCAATTTCAGAAAAAGTAATGGTAATTTCGGAAAAAGTGAAGTTAATTTCGGAAAAAGGAAATTTGGAAAATGTAAATTCATTAATAGCTTACTTTTGCCGAATTTGATTTACTTTTTCCGAATTTGAATTTACTTTTTCCGAAATTAACTTTACTTTTTCTGAAATTAATTTGACTTTTTCCGGAAATGACTTGACATTTTCCTAAATAAAAGTTACTTTTTCCGAAATTGATGTTGAAATGGTGTATGTTCAAACGACTGTCTAGATACAGCTGTAAAACTGACATAAGAACAATGTGTAGAAGAGAGAACAAAAAACATCCATTGGATTGTTAGAAATTCCTATTGCCGGTTTACATCCGCATGTCTGGACAACGGTTTATAGAGATGGACCCATAAAATATGGTATTTTTTGAATCAAGAGGAAATGGTCTTTAATTTCAACACAAAATATACATGTGTACTATTTAAAAAAATATTACTTTTGTAACTCAAATCAAACCAACCAATAACTCCAATGAAAACCCTGAGACCGTTGTATAAAAAGTTTTTGATATCTTTTCAAATAAATGAGATAGATAGATAGAAATAGCTAAAAAAAATAGATACCAAATAAAGTTTTCTTGTACTTAAAAAAATATATTTCTGTATAATATATTCCCTGTACCTACAGGGTGGCGCAAATTCGAACCTCATCATTGGGATCTCGGTAACCGTAAGAGATACGGGGTCGGTTAACTTATGGCAAAGTTGCGCAATTTTATGACCAATAGAGTGCCGTTTTGAAACTAGAAAGATTCCGAATACTTCCGGAGATATTCGGAAAAAAACGAAATTTTGTAAAATCGTTTATATTTTTTCCTGGGCTTATTTGAAGAGCAATTTTAAAATAAATGTCACTTCATCATTGTCACTTTTTCCCCTTCAGAAGATGGTGCTATTAAATTTAAAATTCGACGTTTTGCCTTCAGGCGGCCATCCTCAACTCATTTTTTTTAAATACGGACCTGGATTTTTTATTTGCGATTTTGTCATCTTTGGGCATCCTAAAACCGATACTGTTAATAATTTTTCAATAGCACAGTAAAAAATGCAGGTCTGTATTTAAAAAAATAATAAATTGATGATGATTCCAGAGGAACGAAACGTTGGATTTTAAATTTAATATCGCCATCTTGTAGAGAAAAAAAGTGACAATGGGAATGTAAAATTAGTTTTTCACAATATTTTTAAATAAAATCAGGAAAAAATTCAAACTATACGAAAAAAACATGAATTTCTCGTTTTTCTTAAACTTCCTGATTCCATTTAAAAAGATTTTGAAAAATTAATTTCACATTCCCATTGTCACTTTTTCTTCTCTACAAGATGGCGGTATTAAATTTGAAATCCAACGTTTCGTTCCTCTGGACTCATCATCAATTTATTTGTTTTAAATGCGGACCTGCTTTTTTTACCGTGTTATTGAAAAATTATAAACAGTATCGGTTTTGGGATGCCCAAAGATGACAAAATCGCAAATAAAAAATCTAGGTGCGTATTTAAAAAAAGTAAGTTGAGGATGGCCGCCTGAAGAAGAAACGTCGAATTTTAAATTTAGTAGGACCATCTTCTAAAGGAAAAAAAGTGACAAACATGAAGTGACATTTATTTCAAAATTACTTTTCAAATAAGCCCAGGAAAAACGATTTTACAAAATTTCGGTTTTTTCCGAATATCTTCGGAAGTATTCGGAATCTTTCTAGTTTCAAAACGGCATTCTATTGGTCATAAAATTGCGCAACTTTGCCATAATATAATCGACCCCGTATCTCTTACGGTTACCGAGATCCCAATGATGAGGCTCGAATTTGGGCCACCCTGTACATATTAGAGTTAGTTGAGAATTAATATCTGAAATAAAAAATATGATATTTATGAGTATTTACTATTTTATATGAGTATTATTGTTTTGAGTTTCTTTCATTAAATTTATTAGATAATCAATACAACATTTCTCATTTTAAAAGTTCCTAAGATAACCAAAAGAAGTAGGTATCTAAATTTAATTTGCAATTAAATTGTGAAAATATTGATTTATAAGTCTATAACGAACAATTTCATTTTGTAAAATCCTTCGTCTTCCATAATTTTCATTGATATTTACTAACAAAATTCCAGCTTCAATTTCTTCATTTATTGCTGGAATTTCATCTTTTTCTAATATTGCTATATTGTGCAATACAGCTGCGGCTACTACTACAGCTTCAACTTTTTCATAGGACAATTTTATTCCCAGTGATAAAATTGGGAATCCTCTCTTCCATACCCCAAAACTTCTTTCAATTGGGTTACGTGTCCTGATTTGGGATTCATTATACAAAAATTCGGCTGGAGTTCCTGGCTGAAGCAGGGGTGTCATAAGATAGCTTCTCAAAGGGTAGCCACTGTCACCAACAAGCAATGTATTACCTCCATAAATACCATTTTCAAAATCTAGTCTCAGGCGTGAGTTATTGAATATGGTAGAATCATGGGCTGATCCTTGCCATCTACACACTATATCTTGAAACATTAAATTACTGTCACACACAGCTTGAACGTTATATGAAAAAAAACCTTTCCGATTACGGAATATTTCAGCATTGGGCCCACCAGGTGACTAAAAATAAAATACTATTTTACGGAAAATAGTAGAAGATGCATAATGGCTTGGCCACCTTCTATTGCTTACAAATTATACTAAGAAAAAATTCTGTTTAGTTATTTCTGGTTATAGCTTACAAATGTTTGAATACCTGTATCCGTATTAGAGTGCAATCTTATGCTCCAATACATTGGGAAAAACGACTTATCCTATAAAATCCCTGTTTCACATGATATTTCTCTTCTTCAGTGTGTGGCATTTTCATGTACCATCGTCACCAAAAGTAACTGGGACAGCATCACATTAGCTCTTGCCCTATTATATGAATTTTATTGTCAAATATTTGTCAAACTATGAATTAAATGCATTGAAATGAATGACACTAGAATTAGTCCAGGAGATTATTATGCATTATTGGTGTCCCAGATACTTTTGGTGACGATGGTACATGGGTCGAAGTCTTGCTATAGCAGCTAAGCATTGATAAATAACCCTGCTTCCTGTACTCTTATCGAAACCACTAAAATCTCCAGTCACTTGTGAGGTGGAACCTGTGGCAAGGAAACGTAATGTTGCCAATACTTTTTCAGTTGGTGTCAATATATGATTACTAAAAAATCAATATATTGTACTTCATTTAAGATCAACCGAACTCCGCAGGCTCGTTCTTGGAGTATATTTTACATATTAGGCAATTAAAAGAATATTATTCACTTACCTAAGCGTCTCATTTTCTATGTAAGGAGTAAGTTCTTCGATAATTAATGATGATGTATGTTTAGATAGTCTAAACCTTCGTAGAAATTCAGTTTCATTCCACTTTTCAAAATGGTTTGTTCTATCTCGAAATACTCTTTGCCGCCTGGGATGAAGGTACAGGGTGATCTATAATAAATGTAACCCCCTGCTAACTTTTTCATTTGACGTTTTTGACAGAAGTGTCAAATAAAAAAGTTTCAAGAAATTATCAAAAGTTTTTAACTAAGTCAGTTTTAGGCATACAGGGTGCGTTAAAAAAGTGCAGCAACGTGAAGTTATATTTTTTTAAATGGAACACCCTGTATATTGTGCGCCTATTTGTTAGTCCACTTTAACCTGTTTTCAACGATATAGGGTTTGATATGTCTATCTTCAACAGTTATAGGGAAAAACATGAAATCCCCTTTTAAGGTTTCATATTGAAAAAAGGAAAATTATACCATTTAAGCTTTATAGAATTTTTTTAATTATCAGTTTATTGTTTAAATTTTATTCATTAATATACAAGGTGAAATATTATAATAAATCCAGATGTCTAAGCTATTATTATTATTAAAAAAAAAATAACATGAGAGACCTAGGAAGGAATTTTCGCGTTTTTCCCTATAACTATTGGAGATAAACTGAGGGATAAACATATCAAACCATATATCGTTGAAATCAGGTTAAAGGGGACTAACAAATAGGCGCACAATATACAGGGTGTTCCATTTAAAAAAATATAACTTCACACTCCTGCACTTTTTTGACGCACCATGTATGCCTAAAACTGACTTAGTTAAAAACTTTTGACAATTTCTTGAAAATTTTGTATTTGACACTTTTGTCAAAAACGTCAAATGAAAAAGTTAGCAGGGGGTTACATTTATAATAGATCACCCTGTACATGTTGATTAATTCAATAAAATCTTCATCGTCGGTAAAATCATCAAGTTCTTGATTCAAATTCATGTCTAGATACCTATAAGCTGATAATTAGAAAACACAGTTGCGATACATATTACAAAATTTACAATGCAAGCAAGATAATTCAAATTCACATAACCTCAGAAAACATACCAAAATAATTTATTAACCTGAAGTTATAGAGATAACTTCCCAAATTCCTGTGGTTAACCAACCAAATTATTTAAACTAAAGTTTTGCCTTAACTCGCACTGGTACAACATACACCAACAAATAAACTGAGATTAAGTCCTAACCTGTGCTTATAGAACCGGACCTTAGCAGTCAAATCTTTATAATAATTATAGTGTTTTTAACAGAAATCTGTTATTAAGCGTGATTGACAACACCAGAAATGTGT